TTCATTAAAACCTTGCCTTATTTGTGCGACAACCAACATTTTCGTGTTTAATCACAATATGTACAGTACCTTGACAGGGTCGTCCAAGAGTATGTCATTCGAGTTTCAGACATATTCAACCAACACTTTTTGATAAATAATGAAATTAAGTGACTATTGCAAGTTTCAGGCATTGAAGTGAATGGAGGATTGGCCCAAGCCGAAGGGAAAATCGCTTATTCCCACGTAACCGAGATCTTTAGTCACATAGTTCCGATATCAGGCGATCTTTTAAACTTTAATATTACATACTAATTAATGGGTCTCTTTTTTCTTATTATGTGATCATTCTTTTCTTTTAGACAACATTTCGTATAACATACATTCAAACTAATTGTATACGCTACTCTTCAATCAATTCAAAGTACGAACTATCAGATAATTTTATGTTATCATTACACAAAAATGAAGATATAATATTGATAAATATGTTTATTGGCCGTAATGAGATTGTATACCTTGATCAAAGTGTCTACTCGATCATAGTATTGCGCGCAAAGTATAACTGATGGGCAAAAGAGAACGTGCTAATGGAAGGGTATCAGATGTTGTGACAATAATCCAGTGTTTGTTCGCATGCGAAATAATACGATACATCACTGGGCATCAGTTAGACACTGGATGAAAAAGATCAAAATATCGTCAAGGTAATACACTCATGAAGGTTTCAGACACGACTGTCTTTTCCACACCATTCGGGACTTGATGTTATAATTTGCACTCTGGTGTTCGAAATTTATTCCAGTTCTTGAGTCTTCGTTTTTACATTTTTGAAGAATGTGTAGGGATATCCTTATAATGACTGCGATGTCCGGAGGTCCGTGGTTTAAAATGTTGCTATGATCCCGGGGCTATGATTTGATTTGGCTTGTGGGGTATGTTCATCGATGTCCTTATATAACGCTAGTGTCCTGGTTCTTGTCCAGTGGCCCATGCTTTGCAATATCCTAAAAACACAAACCCACTGCCTAATTATTCCTTGCAATTGGCACTTCAAATATTTTGAAAACACTGAAGTTCATTTACAGAAAAACTGTTCCTTATAATTTCTAAAATGTTTCTAATAGTAGTCTGATATACTAGACACCGGTGCTACTTTAAGAAAGGGGTTATGCTCAAAACATAGGATCAGTTATAATTATCGGAATTATCCCATCCGAACCAGTAACGACTGGTATTAGCACATCAATGAATGACATAACGGACATAACATACTTCTAATTCTAACAATTATTCCTTATAAATTCTTTGATGTGACATTAGTCAACCTTTTTGATAAATTATGTGTAGCAATGGTAAAATGTGTAAATTGTCAAGTGAGATCCACTTCAAAAATAATTCTAATTATCACCATTTTCACAAAACTAAACCACAGGACCATTGTATGTTTCATTTATACGGAAGCCAATCCAAGCCAGTTTTTATAAATTATGAAAGTGATACACATGTAGACTCCCCTCAATACGTTTTGCAATCTTAAACTTATGGAGGGGTGTGTAGGTATACCTGTTGAAAGCTAGGGGTTCTATAACAACTATTGTTTGTCAGAATATAGCCAAAGTATGGCGCCAATGACTTAATATTAAGGGCACTATTTAGATCTGTAGAGGCGACAAAATTGCAAGCAACACGTTCAATAGACCATTTGCTATATATTAATAGCGAAATGGATGAACAGATGACAAAGGGGGTGTTGGTAAGGCCAGTATACCAGTCGTAGTATATAAAACTATCAGGATATCACTTAAAGAGGGACATGGGGTATAAATAGGAGCCAAATAAATGGAACAGCCAAAATAACTGTATTTTTGATATTTTCACAAAGCTGGTCAATTTTCTCATATTTCATATTGATTGAGAAGATGTATTGGTTCCAATTTTGTTATGTGTATCTTTCAATGTTTTTAAATTCATATTCTGCAGTTAGATTTCAACTTCATCATTTTGTTAGATTGTGATAGGACATTAAAAAACACTGATAACATTTTTCAAATTTAAAAGTCCTCAAGATTAGCCAATCAAAAGCAAGTAATGCTGTTAATTAACCTTACTAATCCTTACTATCTGTACCATGTTGAAGGGTGGATGTAACCTGATATTTTAATGAGAGTCGTTAGCAACTTTAAAACCGGCCTTTGTTACTTATCAAGCATTTTCATTGGCATTTCGTATGTAAAGTTCCACTGGCATTTAACTAGTATATGAAATCGTTTACATGTGGATTGTGATTTAATATTGGTAAGGCACTTGAGCATAATGTAATACTACAATTCCCTGAACAAGTTCATAAATACTTAAACCTATTTGTAATACTACAGTTTTCTGAACAAGTATAGAATACTTATAAATAATGTAATACTACAAGAGATCCTTAAATATTATGTTATACTACAATTCTCTTAATAAGTTCATAAATACTTGAACATAATGTTATACGTCAAGCTCTACAATTTCTCCAACCGGTTTGTACTTGAGCATTACGTAATACTGCAAGTCTCTGAACAATTAAATAAACCATTAAACATATAACAATGCTACAATTTTGTACATGATGTAAAACTACAATTCCCAGAACAAATTAATACATACTTGAATAATACTACAATTCCCTGAACAAATTAAAACATACTTGAATATGATGTAATACTACAATTCCCTGAACAAATTAATACAAACTTGAACATGATGTAATACTACAATTCCCTGAACAAATTAATACATACAAGTACTTGAATATGATGTAATACTACAATTCCCTGAAAAAATTAATACATACAGGTACTTGAATATGACAGTTCCCTAAACAAATTAATACATACTTGAATATGATGTAATACTACAATTCCAGAACAAATTAATACATACTTGAATATGATGTTATACTACAATTCCCTGGACAAAATTAATACATACTTGAATATGATGTAATACTACAATTCCCTTAACAAATTAATACATACTTGAATATGATGTAATACTACAATTCCCTGAAAAAATTAATTCATACAAGTACTTGAATATGATGTAATACTACAATTCCCGGAACAAATTAATACATACTTGAATATGATGTAATACTAGAATTCTCTGAACAAATCAATACATACTTGAATATGATGTAATTCTACAGTTCTCTTAACAAGTTAGTAATTATTTTAACATTATGTTATACAACAATTCTCTAGCAAACAACGAAGTATATAAATACATGAACATCAGTAAATACAATTCTCTTAACAAGTTACGAACTATTTTTACACTTTGTAATACCACAATTTGTTAATAGATATTTTAACATTATGTACTACTACAATTCTCTGCACAAGCTAATAGATGCTTTAACATTATGTAATATAACAATTCTCTGAACGAGTTAGTTATGCAAGAGTTCAAGTCTCTGACAAGTTGACCTTTCAATAAATGAGCCTGGCCATGGGAAAACCGTTCTTATCACAACAATTAAAATTGTGCTAAAGAGCCAATAATGTGCTCAATATTAAGAGGAAAATGTGCTAAATTCAAATCAGTCTTTTTGGTCTATACCTGCAAGGAAAACATGTTAAGACACAAGCCATGGCTCATTTGAAAGGTCTCCTTGTGATTTTTAAGATAAAAATCAAAATATTGAACAAATATGTGATAAGACCCCTTTTCCCGTGACCTGGCTCAAATATAATAGTTCCATTTTTCAGTAAGATCAAGTAATTAGAAAATAAGAGATCGTTGCTATAATTTTAGTAATAACATTTACAGATTCATTACGTCTACTTGATTTAAGCTCATAAATTGCTTGACTCGAATTAAGCTTGCATGACCGAGTCTTCAGAATGATTATTAGACTATATCCACTACTTATGAATTAATTCATAGTTATTAAATAAACCCAGTTAGCTTAATATAAGCTTGGGTTTAAGGAAATAGAAAGGAAGTCATTTATATCTAAGTTCTATACGTAATGAAACGATGGGGTGATTTAGAGTCAAGGCAAGCAGTAATTATCCAAGTAAGTAAAGGACGCAACCTAGGATTTATACGGTTTAAAGTGACAAAACGGCCTAAATTCATTGTTCTAACCATGGGAATTGTAACGACTTGGCTGAAAAATGCCAATATCTTTATTTCTCCTCACTAGTAATATAAATACTACGCCTGGTGATCGAAAAAATGAACGAAGAAGGGCGGAGATCTGTTTAAAAAGGCGCAACGTCAACATTTTTTGGTAAAAACCATGCAGTGGAGGTATACATAATTTTTAATTACAATTACGTTGCTTTTTTAAATAAAAGTTGCAAACCGTTGTAACAAGGACTAGATTTGATAATTATGATATAAGATAGATATAAACACGTTTTTACGCTTTTCTCAAACTTGATGTAAAATAACAAGCCAAGGTACTGTCTACTTACTTCAGAAACTAGCACTTTGTCCTTCGAAACATTTCTGATACTCGTGTATACAATTTTTTTATGTTTCACTGTTTCTATTGAATTTCCAAAGCAAATGGATAATCTCTTCTTGTTTATTTTCAGATATGTTTTTTCTCGGTACTGCTTTTTAATCACGACAATGGTGTCAATAATTTTACTGTCGTAAAGTAACCCAGGTTGACACATGAACGAACCAGTTTACGACACTTCAAAATAAAGCAACATAGACCTAGAAACGCATAAATGATATATTATGATTGTGATGTTATTCTGATACCATTACAGGCTAACCAAAGTGGTGATTAATGTTCTACTGTAGTTAGATGTCAGCAATGGATGGAATACTCACAGGATATTAATTGGAAATGGAGACTATTCATGGAATATTTAAGCAATTTAGTTGATTTTCACATATAACAGCGCAGACTATAATATACAAAGGAGGCTTATACAGAGTGAATTGTGCCATAGGTATATAAAGCTAGAAATGTCGAGGCGTATCTATCTGAATCCTGGAATACCCCAAATTAATTTGCATTTTAAAATGTACTCGTATTCAATAGTTTCAAGTGAATTGATTTAAAATGATATTAGAAGCATCTAAAGAGACATAAAAACAAACTTGCATACGATTTAAACGAGTAACCAATTGGAAATTGTATCGTGGAAAGTTTAAATTGCAAACAATGAAGTTGTTTGATATTACGACGGTAAGAAACGTTAACGACACCATTGTTTATAATTATTCGACAACATTTAAATTAGAGTCAGATTTGTCGATCATCACATTCACAGTACTATCGACAATTCTTTGTTTAGCTGCGATTACGGCGAATTTCACTACAATGCTGATCGTGATCCTTCTACCAAAGCAAACACCATTCACGAAATTATTCATCAATTTAGCAACATGTGATATTCTGGGAACTATTGCTATTTATGTTGGCGATGTTGCATTTAGAGCTGGGACACATTGGAACCTTCCGATTGAAACGTGTAATATGCTCTTCAAAATTGGAGGGACATGCTTCAGTTTGTTTTTCTTCACGTCAGCCGTGACGCTGCTCGTGTTCGCCTTAATGCGGTACATCGGCATCACAAAACCACACTCATTCAAATCACTCTTTGAAAGTACTACAAAGGTCGTGCTGTATATTGTGCTCTGCTGGATAATATCACTCTGTTTCACATTACCCACTATCGTATGTGATAATGCGAAACAGAGGTGTAACAATTTATCGATTTACTCGCCGAGTGGCTGTATGTCAAAAAGTGCCTACAAATTTTGCACGAACTATAAATACATCTGGGCGGGAGGTAAAGCTTCAATTCTGGTCATTGTTGTTTTTCTTTATCTGAGTCTCTCGCGAGATTTATTTGTGAGATCTGCATCGTTCAGTTCCAGTAAACGTAACAACAATACATCGACTCGGGACCCTGGGAAAGATAAACATGCTTTTATTACAATATTGATCCTACTTGTGATATTGGTTGCCACAGGTGTGCCATATATTACAGTGAAGGTGTTTAGGAGAGCCTATTATGACCAAACAACAATCAGTGTCTATAACAACTTCGTTGCATATTTTCCATATATAAACTTTATCCTAGATCCTATTGTTTACAGCATCCGGTCATCGGATATACACACAACATATAAATGCTTATTTCGGCAACTATGCTCTTATCAAAAGTGCATGACGCAGCAGGAGCGTACCGACAATAAGTACACAGTGAGTCATAATAGCCACGACAAGCCAGTTGTCATAGCGATTAATGATTTGAAAACAAAACCAGAAAGTGTCAAGGATAGTCATGTTCGAATAGCCATGAGAGATACATCTACAAAACCAGAACTTGTTTAAATGCTTGCAGAATTACTTACAATGTATCTATTGGTATCTCATGCAAAGGTCACATTTGTTATGGCGACTGACGATCAGTAATGTCTGCGGTCAGTAACATTAAAACGGTCGCCCTAGAACTCGTGGTTAATAAATGATGACGCATGGTCAGCTTAGGGCGGCTCTTATTGAGGGCATAGTTCCAAAACCGAGCTAAAACCAGGGTTAAGACGCAAGCGGGCCGCATGAAGGCCCTCACTAAATGATTAATGTCCGAAGGCACGTGCCGTATATAGGGTGTTTCATATGTATGTACCCTATCATGTTATATATCATTTTGTTTCTTGTGAAAAGTTACAAGTCTGTTACATTACATCAGATCGCAAAGTTTCAGAATTCGGGGGTATCCTTGAAAAAAGATACAATGTATCTAGGTATGTGGGTATGGGGTCATGTAGGGGGAATTTCTGGTTATTTCGAGGGCAATTTGAGGAAAAAATTAGTTTCTCTATTGCAGAGTTATGCACGAAGATATATAGATGGGATAAATGCTGTATCTTATAGGGAGGCCAGGGACTCTGGTGCGACCTCTGTCACTAGAAATAGGTACGAGACAAAGTAAACAGATCATCTCACTGAATCCAAGAATGAACAGAAATTCCCCTCGGAACGATCCATACCTACATACTTTGATACATTGTATCTTTTTTCAATGACACCACTGAGTTCTGAAACTTTGCAACCTTATGTAACTGTCCAAAAGGAACAAAATGATATATAACATGATAGGGTGGCAATACTACATGTATGCGTTTATGGGGGGAGGGGTGCATACATATGAAGCACCTTTTATACATTTTAGTACAGTTAAAATATGATCGAACTTAGCTAGGCAAAGTGTGTCAAATTCAAGCTAAGGAAAACACAGTATTTTAAATAATGTATATGTATGAAATAATCAACCAGCTGCAAGCACCCTCTTTAATGCACTTGAGCTATTTTAAGATTCTAGTGAAACTGATAACATCAGATTCATGGTTGAGGGAAATTCTATAAATATTATTTTAGGGAAAAATAAGCCAAGTGCTTATTATGGTCAAATGTTTCATTATGTCTGAAGGTCTAATGGTAAGTGATGACCTAGTTGACCATTGCAGAAACGTTTCCTTGCAAAATCATTATTTTACGTGATATTGTATTAGATATATTGCAAAATCGTAAAAGGAAGATTAAATTAATATGTCCTTTGTACATATGAATTAGTGTTAACATTACCCTACCGAACGACATCACCCTGTCTATCAAAACATTCATGACTTGTCATATAGAACATGGGCCAAATAGTTCAAATTTTAGTCGAAATTTCATATATGCTTGAAAAAAGGGTGGTACTATCTGCAATGAATGTCACGAAACAAATGAAATTATTTCTTAAAATGAGAAGCTTTCATGCAAAACTTTTTGAACGACACTTTTTCTTTGAAGATGGTGTATAAAATGGTGTTTGGAAAATAGTCACTGGAAGGATAACAGAGGACTTTCCATAGAAATTTTTTGAGATCAGCATTTTTAAAACTCAACATTTTCTTCTATTTGATTGCATCTTCTATCTTATTGGCCAACTCTACTTATGTATGTAAAACATGTTCATGAAGTGATTAGAGTTTACGATTAGGAACACAGTAAATAAACAACACAAATGGACATTTATAGTTTTCCATGAATCATATAAACAAACTAAGATTTTCGACATCTAAAATGTCACTCGACTTTTTGGCAATTAAAAGTCCCTGCCTGCATTTAGTAGTCATATATTGTCATGTGCATACTTTTGAAGCCTTATCCTAATTATTTCACAAACCTTTTGTTGATTCTGCAATAGTTTCCAATTTGTAAACAGCATTTAGCCTTTTTAATTGGGAACTTTTTAGAAATTTCCAAAATGGCTGCCATGTGATTCCAGAATTAACATGAGTGTGATGTGACATCACAGTTGCTCATTCCTAGGTAACAACAAGATCACAATTGCTCGTTTCTAGGTAGCAACAAGAATATATTTGGAGAAACAATAAAAGGTAAGTGGAATAGATTAGAAGATGGTTTCAAGTTACCACAGAAGTCAATTTAAAACTCAAGAATGCTTTCTTTGACTCATAATCACAAAAAGGTCGAGTGGCATTTTAAATGTTGAAGAGCTTAGTTTTAGTTTAATATGTCGAGAAATTACAAAACAGGTTCCCACTCCCCCTGACTAATTTATAGGATTGTAACAATCTGCGTACCACTAGGCAGATACATTAATATCAGAATATATCCAGTTCCTTTTAAAGCTTAGGAAGGAATGGGAATGCGACCTCATGCTATTCTAAACTGAACGCTGGGTTTCAATTCGTAACATTTTCGCCATCTTTATTCAGTACAGTCACTTAGAACGAGGGGTGTCTCGGGTAGCGTATTTTAACCGATTACTTATACATGATTGTCTTAAAGGTTAAAGGGGAATTTCAAACTTACCAGCAGTCATCATTAAAACATCAGGTTACATGTACATCAATATTTTAATATGGTAAAAAACTCGAGATAAGTAAGTTTAATCATCAACACTGCTTGCGAATCAACTTTGACGATTTCTCCTATTTATACCCTAAGGAGAGACACATCATACCCTGGTCGATTTCGCTGTTAGAGAGAAGCTTAATATGATATAAAGAGAAAGTGCCGTGAAAGTTGCTGTTGTGTGTATGGTCAAACAAATTTCAACATCGTGGATTTGTTATGGGAGGCCATATACGTTTTCAATAAACTCTGTCATCCTTTGCTTCATTAAAGAAGGTGGGAAATAAAAAGATGAAGATTTATTAAAATGTAACATGGCCATTTTCATATTTTTCATATTTCTCACTTTTCATGTTGATCAGTCCTATATATTTCCCTTATTCTCATTTTAACAGGTCCCTAGCTTACTATTGTATCAGTGCCAAATGTTTTAATCCTCTTGTTTGCTATACCCTTTCACTATCTTTTGTTTCAAACCTGTTTTTATTGCTGTTTATGCTGTGTTCATTTTGTTTTGTGTTATATTCCTTATATGGTAAAACATTCACTCACTTGAGTTTGGGTGTTGGCCCAGCCTCAGTAGTTGCTTTGAGATTGTACAGAGAACACTGTGTTTGTTTATTTGAAATAGACTATTTTATATATTTTAACTTTGGTTTTCTGTTTATACTATATATCGCCACCCACGGCATTAGCCCCGGACATTACAAATACACATCTGATGGATTTTCAATTAGTCAGTCATACTTTTACACAGCGTAAGGCAATGCACACGATTCACCGCACGTTGCTTTGAGGGAATCATTCACAATCTTAATATGTGATGTTATTTTAACAGTTTGTTCTTCGGTGTACGGGAAGAAACTTTCGGATCTCCTATGATGGTTGCCTTCGGCATTACAGATAGTGCATCGGAGAACATCAACCCAAATTTTGAATCCAAGAAAACTACAAATCCTAATTAATTCACGTTTTAAATTAGTTTGCAGGTTTTCGTAGTGTACTATCAATGTTGGCTTATCAGAACCAACTATCTTTAATGCGGAAAGGGTGGCGTTAAACCAACTTTCCAATCGTGTAACTCCATGTTTAGATTGGGTTCTCATAAACTGGCCAAAAGCAAATTGCATGTGTTTTTGGTTAATCCCTGTAATCTCGGAGGTATGTCCTCCAAAATGCCGTTTAAGTTCTGCAAGATAAGCTTCAAATGGATTACGTAATAATATTATGACTCGTTTATATTTCCCCTTGTCTAATTTATTCACACGATGTGTCTTCACTACGACAACCTTCCCACTTTTCTCTCCCTCGCCAGGAAATCCATTTTGCAGAAGATCTGTGTCATTGTATACTGACCCTGTATATATACCTAAAATCAAAACGGAAGAGTACTGAAAAACAGTTTTTGTTTATTAACACAAAAGAGTAGACTTATATATTCCATATTCCGTTTCGACTATCTGCTAAGTATTGATTGAAGTAGACGCACATTAGTGACAATTGAAATCTGTCATAAATGCGAGTCGTCGATACCATTGCATATCAGTTAAGAAAAAGCAGGAATTGGATGGTCTGAAATATTTGCATATTTGCCGAAAATACTGGTTTAACCAACCTGTTATTTGTTGTATAAGATGTCTCAACCACGTATTTCCAGAGCCAGGTATACTGTACAATGCAGTCACAGGTAATAGCCTCTTGGAGAACTTCAGAGGCTGACATGTACTATTGGAATCCATTGGTTTGCATTTATAATCATACGCAACACTTTTATTGTTATCCGCAATATTTTTTGACATTTGAAACTTTCCGCTTTTAAGGTTATTCTCCTTATTTGAATTTCGTTCAATATCAATTATGACTTCTTTTGAATACATATCATTCTGGTGATTAATTACACTGCTAGATACATTTATTATAGTGTCACTATGTTGTTTTGTGTACAGTATCAGTATTATCACAATAACAGACAATATTATATATGAGAGAAATGTATTCCTCATCTCAAAAGTAGTTTATTGTAGAGTTTGCGATGTTTGATATATTTTATTGCATCTAAAGGGTCCTTTTTACATATTTGTTAGAAACAATTATGTTTCTTTCGATAAGATCATTGTTATATGTAAATAATGTGTTTTCAAACTACCGCAGGATAACTTGGACCATTAGGGAGGTTGAGCTTCACGTTTTAAAGGCAACGTTTACCGAATGTGTAAAGCAATGGTCATACGCGGCGTAATTCTCCCCCTTATAGAATCTACTTGCCAGATTGAGTAACAACACTCTGAACAACTGTACCAATTTGTAGCACTCTGTCTGTTTTTTTTCATTTCACAATAACTGTAATATCAACCTTTTGACGTTCTAAGGAAATGTGATGTTTTTCTTGATACCAGCATCAGCAACTACCAACGTTAAGAACAATACAAGAGCAATTTATCATTAAAAAAGGTTAACGTTTAAAATATAGCTTACTTTAGTATAGTTTTAAATATTGAATTTAAGACACACAATGAAATTTTGTTTTCCATAGCTAAGGTGAACTTCGACTTAAAATAGGTTCCACGAGAATGATTCTAGCATAAAACAAAGACAGCAATCCCATTTTTTATTATTTTATCTGAATTTGCTTGATATTCTCTAAAACTTGTTAAAATTTAAGAATATTTAACAATTTTGAAAGCTAAAAATTATAAATGTAAAAACAGTGCTGTTAACAGTAAAATCCCCATTGAAAGGAAGCACATTTTGCCCATAAAAATGCCCGAAATAAGGTGTTTTGGAGGTACTTTTGTAAGGCCTGTAACGAAAAAACTAAGTCGGAAGCATATTGTTATTTTGGTCTTATTTTTTAGGAAATTGAAGTATCTTTCATTTAAAATACATTTTACAAAAATTGAAAATTTGCTTTAATTAGTCCACCACGTCCTTAACCCCAAGTCAAATCAACCCAGGGCCTGTAAAAGTCAACCCAAGTTAACTCGACCCTGTAAAACTCAACCCAAGTTAACTCAATCCATTAAATCTCAACGACACGTTTACTAAGCAAGTAAACTAAGCCCTAGTAAAACCCAATCGAAATATTAAAATTCATTTTTCTCTGAACTACTTTAATGCATGAATGAGTTCATTTCCCTCTTGTTATGTATCACCTAACCTTTTTTTTCCGACAAAAAATGTGAATATGAATACTTGTAAAACGCCCAATCTTTTCGTACTATACAGTTCAAGGCTATCGGGCAAAAATTAAAATATAGTGAGACCTAGTTTGATGCGACTGGAGAAAATGCCCTTGTTTCTTCAATTATTCAAATGTTAAAAAACATTAGATTTTCTCAAAAAGTCTTTCCAAACGTTAAAACATAGTCGACTGTTATTTTTAAGGGTTAAAACACATAAATAATTTAACTGATATAATGCCTTTCATATATCATATTCTCATCTCTTATCTTCATATTGTTGTTATATAACCTCGTATATAAAAGTAAATAGTGTAAGATATCATCAGCAGCTTTTAAGAAACTCAATATAAAAACTGCTAATGTACGCGATCTAAATATATTTGAACAATATCAATTGAACAGCAAAGGAATTTCAAAACCCAAATTCGACTTTACTAGAGACATGCCTGGGTTAAATCGTAGCATTTTTATAGCATGTATTTTCTACATCAACAATGTGCACTTTTGTGAGTCAGAAACGACATGCACGGTTGGACAAACGTCTTCTGATTTATTAGAAACTAATTTGACTGAGAGAATACTATCCTTTGTCGCAGATGGAAAACCTCAGGCTTTATTTGCCTCGATAAAAAACTTCCACGATACTTGGAAACTATGTGGTGTCAACACAAAATTACAAATCGTGAAAAAAGGTAAATCTTAGTTGCATTATCATTTTCCCCATACTATTTTATACTATTTCTCTATACTATTAGTAACAAATTAAAGAATATAGAGAGTACTTCAAATAAAGTAAAACATAACCAGAAAGGAGGGCGAGTTGTTTGTAGAATGAATCGGGGGATTTTTTCATGAATTTCGCTTATGTTTTTCATCCAAAAAACATCAATACACTTTAAAACATTTTGTTTACTTTAAGATTACACCATGTAATCCAAAAATATATTTCTCGTTTTCAAAGATAATCCATGGATTAACACCCATGTATTTTTATTTTTCAAACTTTAGAGGGCTGGGAATCATTGATGCTCAACGCTTTTGAATATGATAAATGCTGTTTTAAGTAGGTTTTACGTATGCCAATAATTTCTCAAATTATGTAAGCTGAATGCATTCCATAATCCCTAGAATATTCTCTTAGAGGAATCCAATGGTATCCAATGGTAGTTCCAAGCAGATTTTTAGATGGCAGGTAAGTAAATTCTTTAGTACTCGCCTTATTGGGTTGAGTTAGTTTATATTCAAAAATTATCTATGATTCTGTAAAGATGTCAGTGTGGATGCTATATAGATTGCACACGTATGGTTAGCTGTATAATCCTATATTATGTAACACGAGTACAGTTTTGGTTGACATGATTGTGACTGAGTGAGAGATTAAACTCTTTAAGGTAGTTCTGCATGTTGATAATTTTTACTAATTTTGGTGATGAATAAATTATCTGATAATTATAAATTGGGCAATATTTTTGACATTTTAAGTGGATATAAAGAATTATGGTAACATACACATGGACCATGCATACACATACAATTACAAATGTGAAAATATTGTCCCTTTCATTGATTATCGGTATTTATTCCATAGTTAGCATGATATTCATAGGATAACATGTGAAAATAAAAACGGTATTTTTGTAATCAGTGGTAAAATATGATATTTTTGACAAATTTTCACTTTACCATAGCATACGGTTTTTTAGCCATGACATACGATGTCGTATGCGATGGTTTATGGATTTTTGCTACTTCAGACTCAAAACGAGGCTAAGTGTCAACATCACCGGATCGTTTGGAAAATTCGAATTAAATCACCTAATTTCCGACGATTCTGATGTTGACTTTAACTATGGAATAAAAAGAACATCCTATGATTTACTCGTGATATGATTTTAATCCACTCATGGATATTAATATCTGCACTCTCTCGCTACGCTCGCTCGTGCAGATATCATATCCATTCGTGGATAAAAATCATATCACTCATAAATCATAGGATATCCTCTATTTATAATCATGAAAATTATTGAAAAATATCGAGACATGTCTACCTTAAAATCAGATTGGCTTACAAGTACCCTAAGCTATTTTCACATTTTTATTGCAAGAAAATCTTTTTGCAAGGATTACAAAGGTTGAAATATTGTGGTGGCTCTATTTGGCTGGAGTTTAATATTCAGACCTAGCTATAGGTATTATTACATTTATATGTACACTAGTATCTTGTTGACCTATATTCAGCACTGTATTGATGAATGGGCCACTTATTAGGGCCAATATTCAATCATAAAGTGTACAGGGGTAGAGATGCCAAACCAAGAAGTCTTTTTGTGTCTGTCAAAATCCATTTGCATCCTACACATCCCAACATATTATCCAAATATGTTATTAATTAATGAAACATAACAGTATAATCTTTGGATTTAGAAAGTTGTATGGGATTTCATTAGTATAAAAGTTGCTTTTGAAGCATTTTTCTATAGCCATTTTGTAGGAAAAAATGATGGAAAAAATGTATAATCTTTTAATTTGAAGTATGACCTGAATCGATTGCAAACTTTATATTTGCACATCTGATGTGATATACCATTTGTGTCATACTGTGAAATTATTTAATTTGCAATCGATTCAGGTCATAGTGTATTTTAGGTATTTTTGTGAAAATCAATAGAAACCAATGGCCTCTATTGGAATTGATGATATCCACATGTTAAGTCAATGGAGCCCATTCAATGGCAAGTCAATACACCCTTGCTGAACTAAATGACCTCAACCTTTTCCACAGTATTATGTGACATTGTATTCTTTATGTTACATCTAAAAATGATTCATTTTGTTCATGGGGATATCATAATGGAAAGTGCACTAGACCCTTATTGTAATTGTATGATATCGTATTTGTGATTTGAATATACACTGTGAGATTTGAGAAAAAGAATGTTTTGTTTTAGTTTCATTGCAATTTATAACCCTAATATCCTTCCCAGAATCCTCCCCTGTCTTCCAATTTTCTAATAACCTCAGAAGTTCCTACTTTTAAAAAAAAATACAATTTTCCATGATCATTTTTATGTCACCACCACAAGTGGTGACATATTGTTATGGTCTCAGACTTTTTTGTGGACGGTGTTCAGTGGTTGGTGTTTATCATTTGGCAGTTGGTGTTTGGCAGTTGGTGTCTGTAACAAATGGCAGGTGTTGACATTTTGCATGTGAATGCCTTGTCTTATAATGTAGCCAACTGCAATGGATGTAAAAGGGATACAGTTAACTAATACATTTCTTGGCATCAATTCAAATCATATGCTAATTTTAAATGAAAATGCTTTTTTTCATGTTTTACCACTCATAAATGCCATAATATCTCGATGTCACATTCAGGAAAATATGGCTATCAACAAGTTTTGAATTCTTACAATCCTGGAAGTTGTACATGTAAGCGTACACATCTGTCAGTTCAGTTTATGTGTAAAAGTTAATCCCCTAAGCCTTAATACCTGATGCATGAAATATTATGGATGAGTTACATAATATGTACTCGTGCTATTTAGGTAAATGTTGTGCTGTTTCACCAGATTTGACTGACATCTTTAAATAACAACAATTTGATTTGATGATCAGACAGCAACAAAACATATTAAGTGGCCAAGACAAAAGAATGTTATTATGATAGGCATTCTAGGGATTAAGGAATGCATTCAGCTTACATAATTTGAGAAATTATTGGCATACGTAAAACCTACTTAAAACAGCATTTATCGTATTCAAAAGCGTTGAGCATCATTGATTCCCAGCCCTCTGAAGATTGAAAAATAAAAATACCTGGGTGTTAATCCATGGATTATCTTTGAAAATGAGAAATATATTTTTGGATTACATGGTGTAATCTTAAAGTAAACAAAATGTTTTAAAGTGTATTGATGTTTTTTGGATGAAAAACATAAGCGAAATTCATGAAAAATTCCCCCGATTCATTCTACAAACAACTCGCCCTCCTTTAGGCCGATCATATCTGTAGGGAGTGACAAATATTTAGCAACATGTACAGTTATCTAAAAAGCTCAAAAATATATTCATTACGATCTCAAATATAATATATCTTAAGATATTAACGATATGTAAACAACTGATCAAGTTTCAAAGCGGTAAAAAGTGGAGAAAATGTTTAAATTTTCCCGAATGATAATGTGGTTGCCAAATTTATAGCATTGTGAATGCATTATTGCAAGAATATAGAAAATTAAAGTGACAAGAAATTTATGCAAAGCAATATAACAAAAAAATACATCAAAAGCCAATATTGTATTGTTATTTATCAAGGATGGTGTTATTTTAGGAAGAGAGTTCGTGGAGTTTATTAAAAAAAGATTTGGCATTGATGCAAGCACCTTAACGGATGAGCAATTGTATCAGGGTCAGCCCGTAGAGTTAAGCGGCTATCTATTCTTTGGCTTTGTTTTTGATACTAAGCTAAGAACAGTGACTGAAATAACGCAAGGTCTCGGTAAAGTGACGAATTATAATGGCCCACATAGCAACGAGATCGGCTTTGCAGTCACTGCGAGAAAGACTATCGCATCAAAAGGTCAGTATTATTCCGTAAACTCTTGTTTATTAAAAATAGTCCTGTAAAATCAAAACATGCATTTATATGTAAATAGAACCTAACTAAACAGTGTCTGATTCATTAAGGCCAATGGACTGGTACTATTCCGAGAGGTGCGTTTATGTACACGCGTAGCATTCTCCTACCCAAATGTGATAATACAGAGACTGACGTCATAGAAGGCAGTACAACATATCCGTTGTACATTGACTCGGATGGATTTGCGTCATTTGAGTATGTCGTATACTCTGAAAAATATGGACAAGGGGTAATGCATGGCGAAGAAATACATTCCCAAGCAGCATATGTGGTATCAATGACTATGAAATTTTCTGATTAAAACAAAAGAACAAAATAAAGACTTTTTAGAGATAATAACTATACTTTTTAACTGTCTTTGTATAGCTAATTGGCAACACACAAGAGAGGTTTCGCACAACCTCGGGTTATAGCTTTAACATATCAGCATCCACATCTCGTTTTAATTGAACTACTACGCTCAAATCTGAATAATGCGTTTCGTATTTTAGAAACATTTATAGGCTAAAAAGTTGTACGAAACCTCTTAATTTATAGTAACTAAACAGAAGCTAGACGCACACGGGATGAAACATGCACTCCACTCCATAAGTTTAGCAATATTAGCTCCCCCGTTGAACTACGCGTTTAAGCCTCTTTACCTTTTTGTCAATACCTCCAAATTTTCTCAATTTTATTTCTCAATTACAATAGGTCGAATATTGATGACTTTTTGAAAATGATATTAATAGACATTCCCATGTTAACCAATGGGAAATGGTAGGTTTGTCGCAAGTCATATGACAGGATACCCATCCATCAGAGTCCTTGCAAAAATATGTATCAGGCAATCAAATTTTCTAACTTTATTTAACAAAAATGTATAAGTTTCTTCAGGTTCAGCAAAGTTACGTCTTTAAAGTCATTTTTTTTCAAAAAACCTCTCCCATTGAAATAACACAGGAGGCGAAAAATGATTTTCAAAAATGACTTTGAAGCTCTGTAACTTTAGTATTCATCAAGTAAACTAAACACTTCGTGTGCGAAAATGTTAGACAATTCAATTTTCTATATAAAAATATCTTTTTTGAATCTTTTACTGAATATATATCCTTTTTTCTGATTAGCCCCGAACCTACCATTTCCTGTTTGTTAACATGGTAATGTCGATTTTCAAAAATGCATCAAAGGAGCACGTGGGTTATCGCAAACAATTTCAGAAGGTTATATCTTGGATTATGACTATTTTCTGACAATGAAGACAAGTTTATCTTTTAGATCAATTCATTATCTCAAAGAAAATTATGCACAGTAATAATAAATTCAAACAAACTCGGTGATATTTAACTAGCAATTAACCCATCAACACACTTTTTGACCCCATTTTGAAGATGTTGACCCCATTTTCACCAAAAATGCAATCATTTTTTACAATGTTTAATGCATTACTATTCTTTATTTTGATGTATCAAATAGTTCTTGAAAGAAAAACTTAATTGCATTAAGATAAGTGTTCCCCATGTTATTTCTCCATTGAAAAATCTCATGCTATCCATTGGTTTCAGTTCATTTTGGTCATCCAAATTGAATATCTTTAAAGTCCCTGGAGCAATCACATTTTCCTTTTAGGAAATCGAACATGTCTCAAAGCACATTCTAATTATGCATTCAACAATATAATAATAGGTTGCATTTTTGGTGAAAATTAGGTCAACATTTTTGAAAAAGTATGTTGATCGGTCCATTGCCCCTTCAATATCACTAAGGTCTGATTAATTAAATTATCATTATATATGAAGATAATGAATGGATCTAAAAGATACACCCATGTTCATGATCAGAAAATATTTATAATTCAAGTTAGAATCGTTTGAAATTGTTTGCGATAACCTACGTGCTCCTTTATCATCAATTTTCGATCTATTCCTTGAGGAAAAAATTGAGAAAATTTGGAGGTATTGGAAATAAAGTCAAATTACGTTTAATTTCCATCAATAGTATAAGTATTTTAATCGCAGGTTAAGTAATTAAAAAACCAAACGTAATGCGTAGTTCAATGGGGGAGCTAAGGTTACCAAACTTATGGAGGGGAGTGTATTATGTTTTATAAAACATGAACAATAATGTGTTGTTTGACCCCTTGCGATTATATGGAAAAAGCTCAATAAAATGTTTTAAATAGTAAGAAAACTAATATGTTTCCAATCATAAATAACCTAAGTATTCCACACAATTATGTTGGATCTGCTTGGCTCATATTTGAAAAATCATACAAAATCTGAAAATCACACTTGCGTTATTACACTAATTAAACACCGACATACAGTCGAAATGTTGAGGCATGCGCAGACCACTATTTAGTGATATTTTCATTTCAAATATGGCGGCCAATCCGATGTCTGACGACCCTTACAAAGAATCTAGGCAGTTTGCATTTTACCTCCTGTGAAATAACAAGTGGAATTTAGTAGTTGTTTTGTGTTTAATTATCATTCTGCATCGTAATTCTATGTGATGTGGTGTTGAAATGTCAGCAGAAATACATATCCATACGATAATCGAGTGAATCAGATAACAGATTTTTCGAAAACCCGTCTCGTGCTAAGAGTGTAAAAACTTGTATTAACATGCTCAAAAGTGCCAATGTGCACATCAATGTCAAGCTAAATCAAACAGGTACAGGTACAGGTACCCGATCTACTCAAAACAGCTTGTCATTCACGTATACACGCTTAGCCAACACGGCGAAATGACCTAAATCTTGGAATTTCGTTCGAGAGCTAGTAATGTTTGCTCCGGTCTTCGTCATAAGTGTTCATCAGACTTCACGCATGCGCAGGAGAAAAACCATCAACCAATAAGGTTTATAAAACAATTTTGCGCATGCGCCTTACAACGGTAAAGAAATTCGTATTTATAAACGAACCAGTTTGAGATAACCCGATATCAGTCGGAGAAATCTGACGATCTACGAAACTCACTTCAAAAAATCAAATGCAGACTGACGGCGTATTCTACTATGTTTGGATCTAAGATTTTCAGTATAGATAAAGTCTTTTATGATCTTTCGAATGAGGTAAGTCTCTAGTTCGAAAGACAATCGTATCAACGAGAACAAAAGTTGAGTTTTGACGAAAAATTTTAACATGCGCAGAAGTCCCATTTTCGTTGTACCATATTTACTGCATATACAGTGAAATTATTGTATATTTTTACATTATGATAATCAAGTTTTTGTTCGTATGCTTAGAATAACGGTCTCAGCCTTGGTCTGTGTCTTATAAAATGCATAAAAGTTCGAAACAAAATATTTACGTTTTGACCCCTTGTGATGAAAGAAAGTTTGAAGTTTTTTTTCAGCAAATGGTATTTTAAAAGAATAAAGACGTATGCCTCCATAAATATTGCTTCAAATGATGCTGCGCTATAGTGTGCTACGGATCCCTCACATTCGGAAGTCATACCATGAACTAATATCACCGTTTGCATTCTTTTAAATCGGTCTGCATTAAAGGGGACCACCACCATGGTCACATGATCAGTCATGTGGAGGTAAGCTCCCAGTTGAAATAAAAGCACTGTCCTCCTTTGGTTTATGTGAAAAGTAGCTAATACCCTCATGTATTGGTCAGTTTGTGTGTCACACGACTAAGCCACACCATATGCTTCATTCAACATATTTTATGCTATTAAGCTGCATATAAAAACACTACTTTGCAGTAAAAACGTACTACTGGATGAACTAAGGTTAGGGTAATTAAATTAGTTGTTTCTCATTCTTGCCCGCGTGTGACTCAATCCCCCCTCCACCTTTTTTCTGCCATTTCTGAGAAAAAAACACCATACCTCGCGCGCATCCATGGCGTGTGAAACACGCAATATCACAAGACAATATCGTGGTACTGATATATGATCAAATATACCAGTAAAGTAGGCTAAATTCATATAAATTCAACATAAACTCAGTTTATTTCCTTCAAAATTAGTTATTTGTTTTTACAGTTATTTCAAAGAAAAAAATCATCCCGTCCCTCATCAGCATTTTAGATAGACACAAAAGGTAATATAGAAACCGAAATTCCCGTATCAATTTTGAAAAATAGAAGAAAGAGAAACAACTAATTGAATTACCCTGGCCTAACATAAAATACAAAGCCACTAGCTAGCTCATACAGTATACTTACCCCTTGCAAATTGTAATTTATTGAATTCACAGTAAATCCATCAATTTTAAAAAACAAAACAAAGAATATTGTTCTCATGGATCTATTATTCATGTTAAACTAACTATGAAAATATAAATATGAAATAATATGTTAGCTTTAAGTCATATATAAGATTGAAATATATGTTCATGCATTTGCATTTTTCCAAAGGGAATATATTCCCATGTAAGTAAATACAGGTGCAATGTATAATGTATATGTATATCTATGTCATCTGTCTATACATGCGCGTATAGTGATACATTTGAACAAGATGGTTCTGGAAAGAAATGAGCGTGGTAGATTTGCTAAAAGCCACATACACCACAAAAGCACAAACATTTGAAAGTAAGTTCATTATTCTCAAGGGTACACTTCAAGTGAAAGTTACATTGCTATACAGGGTGGCCTATCATTCTGAGACAAATGTATTATCCAACGATTGTGATTTTCGAAGCTAAAATATAATATCTTGAGCAGATGGAAATACATTCCCATGAGATATGTATATATATAGTCAAAAGTGATAACTATTTATTGAGTGTAATGAAACGTATCCTTCGCCAACTGCTTTTGTTTGAGATAATTATCATGAAATATTTTTAAATAAATTTTTATGTGTGTCATTGATCCTAATCCACCCTGTAGTCTGGTGTTTGTAGAGCATTGCACCTCGTACACCTTATTCTCACAAATATCAAACCTCATTTACTAATTAATTTTTTGTGTGAATATGAAGAGTCCAAACATTGCTTTTTATGTTAACTGTATAGCTATATTTAGCTATATTTTGAAATTCTAAGACGGTGAAAAATCATTAAAAAATATACAGATTCAGAATCCGGCAAGCATTTTCCCTTATTCCTCTCCGTTAAGAAGTTTTGTAAGGTGGTGGATCCCTTTAATTTCAACAGGTGGTCAATGTACACGGGCATTTGAGTTATTGGTTTAATGATAAATGTGACCCTTGAATGCGTAATGCTTTATGTATGCGTGAAACAAATACTCCAATGACCTAATCTCAGTTTGCCTGCGTACTATATAACATTTAAATGATTGTCATCTGTTCAATAAATTCCGGAGCACATGTGAAACAATTCAATGAGGTATTCCAGGATCGCTATAATCGCTACTTACCAGTGATGTTTATAGATGTTTAACAGCAGATAGTAACAATCGTTTTGGTACATTAACCAATAGCATGCTTGAATGCGCTTAAATTCGAGTATATCAGATGTTTTTCAAACGGGTCAGACGTGTTAAATTGTCTTGTGTAGTACAATTCTTAGCATTCAATTTATAAATGCATAATTAAAAAACAAATGAGACAATTATTTCACCTACATTGTACAGCTATGTTGATCTTCAAGATTTGACAAGTAAAAAATAATATTTATTTTATGTGTAATCCATGTTTTTTAATCATCTTTATCATTGGTGTTCTCCAGGGTTGGATTTATTGTCACGCCTATTTTGATTCATGATCTTGTTATATTTTGATTTATGATTTTATTGGCAAGAAAATCTGAATGTGTGAGCGTATATCACCCATTTTGAGTTTGGAGACCATTTTGGTCTTATTTTCAGCTGAAATTGTATAAAATGTTCTTGATATCAAATAGGTTATGATATTTAATCTATTTATTAGCTATTCAAAAGAAACTTTAAAAAAAAGAAAATTGAAAATGACCCCTGCGTTATCCCGAATAAATATTAAACGGTAATGTGTGATGCTCAACGAGCAGAAAATCTACCAATACAATATATTTAAAACAGTGCAGCTTCAACAGAAGGTCGTTATTAAATTTTGTTAATTCCTTTTGTACGACAACCCGTTAGTTGCATTCGCGAATACAAGCTTAGATTGTTTGATTTGGTTTGGCAAACAGGGTTTTATAGAGAAACAATCTATAAATAGAAGGTATTGGCAGCAATGTAGTTTGTTACAAATAATGTGCGACAATTAAGGCAAATCAATTGACATCCGAATCCCTTTCATTACTTAGGCAAGAATGGGATTGCTTACTCATACCATCTATTGGACAATGAAACATTTTTGTACAATTCATAATATATTCGCCATCTTTATTCTGATAGAAAACGTTCTTCCCCTGAGGCTAGGTAAGCCACTTTGTTCGAGCGAATCTCACTTAGCGCATTTTAAAACATGACTTCTACGACTTTGTAGTTGGCGAAGAGTTGAAAGTCTCTGACGTAATCTATGGTAACACATTTGCCAAGTTAAATTGTAATGGGAAGACGTTAAATTAAAGCATAGAATAAACGTTTCCCCTTATAAATCTTGGTACTTTTGCTTCATTATCAAAGAAGTAAGAAAATATAGTCATTCAGTCCTAGTGATTAAGATTAAGACAACTGATGGATTTTTTGTTAACAAGTCACACTTTTCCGACGACGTAAGGCAATGTGCACGATTCACCACATGTTGCTCTGAGTGTTTCATTCACGATCTTTATATGTGCTGTAATGTTCATCGTTTGTCCTTTGGTGTACGGGAAGAAACGTTCGGATTTCCTATGATGGTTCCCTTCGGCATTACAGATAGTGCATTGAAGATCATCAACCCAAATGTTTAACCCAAGAAAACTACAAATCCTAATCAATTCTTGTTTCAAATTAGTTTTCAGATTGTCGTAGTGAATTATAAGTGTTGGTATATCAGAACTAACTATGTTTAATGCGGAAAGTGTGGCGTTTAACCAACTGTCTATTCGTGTAACTCCGTTTTTGAGAGTGTTCCTCATGAAATTATTAAAACCATATCGCATGCGTGTTTGATTTAACATTTCTTTTGTAATTCCAGATGTATGTCCTCCAAAATGCCGTTTGAATTCTGCAAGGTAAGCTTCAAATGGATTACGTAATAAAATGATGGCTTGTTTATAGTCTCCTTTGTCTAATGTCTGCACACGGTGTGTCTTGACAACGACAACCTTACCATCTTTTATTCCTTCACCGGGAAATCCATTCTGAAGGAGATCCGTGTCATTGTATACTGACCCTGTGTAAATTCCTACAATAAAAACACAAGGAAGGGTCGATTATGAAATGACCAATGGAAAAGCTAATTTATTGTCCAAACCATTAAAATATGCGATATTTTCGACGATCTGTTAAGTATTTACGCGTGCGTGCACTAGTGGCAATATGTGAACTGCCATCTTTGTGAGTCCTCGATGCCATTGAATATCAATTGAAAACGGAGATTTGATGTTCTTAATAGGACATTTGTATATTTTCCGAAAATAGTAGTTCACCAACCTGTTATTTGTTGTATAAGATGTCTCATCCACGTATTTCCAGAGCCAGGTAGACTGTACAATGCAGTCACAGGTAACAGCCTCTTGGAGAACTTCAGAGGTTGACAGGTACTATTGGAATCCATTGGTTCGCATGTATAATCATATAAGACACGTCTATTCATATCTCCAACATCGTTTGATATATTAATGTTCCCACTAATATGGTTACTCTCATCTTTTGAGTCTCCTTTGATATCAGTTCTGTCTTCTGGATAGATCACATCATTTTGGTGATTGAATACACTATTAGATACATTTATTATAGTGTTACTATGTGGTCGTAAGCAGAGTATCAGAAGTATGACTAAAATGGCAGACAGTATGATAACCTTGAATGATTTATTCCTCATTTTAAAGTCGCTTATGAAGAGTATGTAATGTTTTAATGTATGCCATTGCATCTTAAGGCATCATTTCTACATAGCGTTGTTATAAACAATAATGTTCCCTCACTTAATGTGTAATAACTTATCTTTCAAACTACCGTTGGGCAATTTGGGCTATAAATCAAGTTAAGCTACACGTTTTTAAGGGAACTTTAACACGACCGTGTAGGATATTGATCCAATAGGGATTGGATCTTCATTGTGTTTTCTTGCGCGATTGGGTATCGATGTATAAGAACAGAAGTTCTAAGAAGGTCCCCGGAAAAAACAGATGAGACTGAAACGGTACACGTTAGCGCACACGTTATTTTGATAACGTGTAACTCACCCTATAGATATAATTTTAAGAATCAATCATTCATAAATTGAATTTTCTTTATTTTATTAAATGACATTCTTTGGTTTTTGAAGATTTTTTTACAAAGCAAAACATTTTTTCATTCTAGATACAATAACATGCATTTTGGCATACTTAGTTTTAATATAAGATTGTTATCACTCCAAGTTTTGAAAGTCACATGACCAATTCTTAGAGAGTTGATTGGTTGAAACAGTTGATATCAGATATGACAATTTGAAACCAAGTTTGTCTAGAGAGCCTGGAGATGGTACAATTTCACACTGAATTCTAGCTTAATGAGAGGGAATTGAGATTTAAAATTCAACACGTTTGAAATGAGAGTTGAATTATTTTATTTCCGGTTGATATAACGTCTTAGCGTTAGTGAAATCGAACGCGATTTCAACTGATTGGATAACATGATGTGATCATGAGTAGGTTATGTGAGTGGATGCACGATGGGATCGTGTTATTCTGCGAGTAGCAACCGAAGCGTTTATACACAGTTTTAGTTAATGTTGTTGTAAGTTGTCATACAACCGATTCGAAAATTTAGTTTTATTGTTCGAGGAGGCATACCTTTTTCCCTTTCGAAAGTCACAAAGATTTTGATCTGGGTTTTAACGGTGTCAGGTCGATAAACTAAAGTTTTTCATATTGAAGTCAATGAACACTTTCTTTAGTGCTGTTGACCAAATCAACGTTTTTGAATGAAGTATACGTGTTCTGACGTTGATGTAACCTGTTCCCAATAATTACTACTTTGGGAAGTATATTTTTCTGCAATTATTACAAAGCATTGCATAGCATAGGATGTTAATTAAGTTAATTAAAACATTTAGATATTACGTTTCTAAGAAGCAATTATGTAATGTGCATATAAATCTGAAACTCAAGGCATGGCTTTTTACTGACAGCACATTGAATCTAAGTGAATAAATATGTATTTAAGTGTGTTTCTGTCATATTGTTTCAAGGAAGGCACAAAGGTTTGCTTTTAAAATTATTGATTATATCCGAAAGTCCTTCATATTTTTAGATATGTAATATCTATTTCCAGAAGGGCATCAATTTTGGTATTTTAAGATGATAGTTGTGTTCCTTAACAACATTTACAGTAGTTGTGTTATATCAGTGTGACAAACACATTAAGAGAAGTGCTTGTCAACTAATTGTATTTTATATTAAACAGATAGTATTTAGATTTACAACGTTTCGAAGAATTGTACTTTTGCTTTTGTTGCAATACGAGATTAGTTTGTATTAAGGTTTGCAAAGCATGGTGCTTTCCAGATATTATATTCTTCATCACAATAGTTTTAGAAGATCGTATGATTTGTGTAGTCCGGTCGTGTATTCTTGTGATAATCACGTAATTTTTGTCTTTTGTGACCAACAATGTCGCATATTACGACATTCTATTAAGGAAGAAAGGTTTCATTAACTTTCTGAGTTACGTGTTTTGCCAAAAGGCAATGTTATGGTTACAGTGCAAGTCTGTAGACAGTGATTTAGATTATTGTTATGTATTAATGACAGTGCGTGATTACTGTATTAGATAGTGAGGCATGTTACTCACAGATTTTGCCTAGTGCTAGAAGGCACTATAGATGTATGGTCCTTATACAAGTTTTTTATATTGCAAGTTGACAGATAGTCACAATTTAGAATTGGTTTATTCCGAAATTTGTGAATTAGTTTGAGGTCTTTGACATGTTAACAAACGTGTAGCCACAATGGTTTTAATGACAGTTGATCATTAGATATGGATGGGTTGTTGGATTTAGATGTTTTAATTAGGCACACGGTGCCTTATTGATGCCTTGAAGGCAGTTAAACATCGTAAATCAGCAGCGAGGTTGGGAGCCGAGGACGGATGTTGGGTATATTTGAGGTTTCTGGCATTAATGCCATCGGCATCGTGGCCGCTATGACATTGGCATCGTGGCCGTCATAGGTACCTGGATGCATCGCGACCTGGCTACATTTTTTCTTTTTTTTTTCACTCATTCTTTGTATCAGATATACTTAATGCTATTCCAATAAACGCGGGCTGCTGGCTCGAATTTAATCCTATAATATATGTGATATTATGTTGTGTGGTTTGTGGTGAAGACTGTTTAATTAGGAAATAAGGGGCATGTATCTGAGATGAAAGCCTGTGTTTCAAAAAGTAAAATTCCATGTCTATCTCAATTTTTTGGAAAATGGCAGTTAGTACAAAGTTATTCTCACGCGACGAAATATCATTTAGAATATGCAAAAGCTAGATTTTAAAGTAAATGAACTAAACAGCTCGGACACGAATGGCTCGGTATTGAGTTGACTTGCGGTTGAGTTTTACCGGGGTTGAGTTTTACTGGGGTTGAGTTGACTTTGGGTTGACTTTCACTGAGTTGAGTTGACTTTGGGTTGAGATGACCCGTCACCGTCGGTTCGTGTAAAACTAAAGTACCCGAAGCCGATAGGTAGAATCAGTTCAAGAATCGATCATTATAATAACAAGAATATTATTTGTTTTTACTTATATTATGTTAATTGCATCACCATCGTGTTGTACCAAGTGCGTTTAACTCAAAAATTGTTCAATTTCCACTCGACAGAAACACCATTATCAAACTTTTACTTATTTACTCAAAGGTGTGGTATCGATATGGAGAATCTTTTGAATCACGTTTCTCTTGAACCAGTCATAAAAAATCTAAAAATTTAACACATCGTCAATTTAATGGTCATCTTTTGAATGGTAGCAATATAATTTGAAAAAATATACTTTCATCTATATTTTTTCTAGAAAACACATCAAACACTTGTTTTGTTCTTGTTGTATATGCTATTTTGTTCCAATAAGGTTCGGAAAGACATTTTATTTCATTCTCAAGCATTGGTAGAAAGGATTAAAAACAATTACACAAAAGAACAACAAATGTTATCAAAAAGAGTTATATAAAATATTTCTAAATAAGTTTTGCATTAAATTGTTGTCAATCAGTCAACATTACATGAAATAACGTGTTTTTTACAGAATGTTTTCAATGATTGGTGTAAGAGAAAAAACATTGTTGAATTCAGTTCTCCATATCGATACCACTCCTTTGTCATTTTGATTTTCATTAGTCAACTTCTGCATTCATTAAATATGAGAGAATCCACATGCTTCGTGAACATGAACTTATATGTAAAAATCGTTATGGATGAAATGATTTCTTGCAAACTAATACAACGAACATTGTAATATCATGTATTAATACCCTTTTTCATGGAGACATTTAAGCTCTTTCTTTAGGCAAATGGGAAAAGATGATTTAGTTATAAGTATTGAACATTTAATACGTATAGTGGTATATTCTACTAATTATGAATTCCCTAGGTTTCTTGATATCGATTCAGACCATGTTAACAAAAATTATTTATTCTCTTCTTTAATGTAATTACTTAGGTTTGTCTTGTTAATCTCTATATTGAAAAGAATCTGTGTACTACAGAGAATACTTTTCTCAGAGACAGACAGCATGTTAATACTTCCAATGAATTTACATAGCTTAAAGAAATTGTAAATTGTGTATTTTCAATAGCTAGGCAGATACACAATATAGTTTCGTTATTTAGATAAACATATAAAAAGTACAATTAAAGAATCGAATTTCCAGGGAGATATCTTCTCTTGTCTTTTATTTGCAACAGTTTAAACCGTGTAGAATAATCTGGATAATTTTTAACCAATGTTAGATTCCTGTGAGATATACTAGACTGAATCATTTTCTCAAGGGGCGACTGACAGTAACGCGAATGTTGAAAGGTACAACTTCACGCTGTAGCTATCATTTGATACATTACCATTTTCACATCAACATTTACAGAGTCTACGGTATATTCATATAGAATGCAATATTTTAGCTATAGATTGATTTAGCGTTCCATTTAAACAATGAAAGTATCCTTTCATAATCCACATTGACTTTTGATTTTCAAGATCAACTTGACATGCAGTTAGCATGATTAGCATTACTTCAGCATGATGTTCACGTAACAATGATTCCGTAGATATTTCTCAATCACTTTGATTAAACACAAGAGAGTGCTATGCTACGATGTTCCTGCTTGCCTTTTAACTCACTCGGTTAGTTTGTCATGTTGGTACCAACCTTTACATTCTTCGATGGTTTGAACACCACTATAGCCAGAGCGGTCGACCTTTAAGCGCTACCTGCTGTACGCACTCTGCCCTTGTTGGTAAAGGGATGGTGAACAAACCCTCGATGAATGTATTAGCAATTGTCAAATAAGTCGTTGGTTAATGTTGTCTCCCCTTTGCCCATTTGTCATTTCTCCTCAGCCAGAGCCATCGGGAGGCTTCCTCTGCTGCAGATCCAACTGCTCTGTTCGCTCTCTTGAGCCATGAGGGTGGGAGTCCTACGTTCTTGAACATTCGGTTGAGAGATGTTGATGGAAATCCTCTACAACCTACTTCAACGGGATAGTAATGAACTTTCCACCCTTTGGCCTCTATCTCCTCAACCAGATCTTGGTACTTTGCGCTTTTGAGTTGGTGTGCTATCTCAATGCGATCTTCCTAAGGTACTGTCAGTTCTATTATAACAGCAATTCTTTTATCCTCTGAGAATAAAAGCATATCTGGTCTTTGGTTTGTTGTCGTGATACAGCTGGGAAATGTGAGTCTTTGGTGTAGATCTACTCTCAGCTCCCAGCCCTGTGCTTGTTGTAAGATGCCATATTTTCCTCGAGAGGTGTGCCTGCTACCGCTAGGCAAAACCTTCCCTTTAGGATTTGCGTTAGCACCCACAAAATGTTTCTCTAAGGGTTGCAACATATCTGCCCTTGGTCCTGGTGTTACAGTTGCATTCGTTTTGTTCATGATCCGTGATTGGTCCACCTAGTGAGAAATCTTTTGAAGAACTTTGTCATGCCTCCATGTGTACCTTCCCTCTGCAAGTGCAGCCTTGCACGAACTCAGGATGTGTTGGATGTTACTTCTCAGAGCTCCACAGTGGATACATGATGCATCTTCATTAAGACCCCAGGTAGTGAGATTGGCAGGAGATGGTAAAAGATCAGATATTGCTCTTAATAAGAAGCTAATCTTGCCCTGCTCCATATCCCATATGTCTTTCCATGAGAGCTGTCGATCGAGTGTAGACTCCCAGTGGGTCCATGCACCCTGTTTGTCAATTTGAATAGAATCTAAAACAATCTAGACTTTCCTGTCCTGGCATATTAGTTTATATTTGACAGACAAAGACTCATACGAAGATTGACATATTGTCAAATAATGGTGTTGGGAACATCGATCAAGTCAAACTTAGCGAGAAGGTCGTGTTTCCCACTTTTTCTATATGTCGCCATATATTATTATACCACTTACTGCATTACATTATCATGATTGCACCAAAATGTTTTCATTTCATGACTACAAGCATGTATACAGGGTCGGCCAAAAAAACATCCCCTAGTTTGGAACAAAATGATACATAAATGAACAATTTTCAACCACCCTCACTTGAGATATAACCAATTATGTGACATGGGGGTAAAAAACACCTCAATTTTAATCAATTTTGCGAACGTTAGGCTATTTCTTTCAAAATATTTTACCATTCAGTTAAAGCTTGCATCGTTGTCGTGAAACTTTCCTAACTGGATATTAATGTTGTTTTCATTTAGTTTTTGAACCATGCATGTTTAAAATACATGTTTATGGTTGTAAAACAGATTAATTACTTCAGTCTGTCCAAATATGGCTCAATCGGCCCACCTTCTGATTGGATTATTCGCTTAAGACATTTGCTGATGGGACGATTGATTGATGTTTGCGGAAGTACCATCCAACTCCAAATTATTTGTTCTTTCAATTCGTCTACATCCCTGATGGGCTAGGGATCTTCATAGCTATAGACAAACTGTTATAGATGCCCCCAAGTATGATAATCATCAGGGTAGGCCCTATGTATCAGCAAGCGAAAGAATGACATTTGCGAAAAGGGCAACTCAAATCAAAAAAATGACATTTTCTGGACATGTAGTAGTGCAGTTTGTTTTTTCCAAAAAAAGAAGAGATCGGCTATGTTTTTGTTCAACCAGAAGCAGAAGTATACTTTGAATATTACTGAAATGAAGTGCTAAAAGGGAATTGCACAAGATATAAGAAACACGTAAAAGACATTTTCCGATAGTACAGTGCTCTTTCACACAGGTCAAATGCCATCCTGGAGTTTTTTGACTTGAAATGTCACCATTACCAGCCCAGACAAATAGCTTCCTTGCAGTCCAGATGCAAATCATTTTGATTACAACATTTAGGGGCATCTAGAATAGCTGGTCTCTTAAGATACCCTGCCAATCGGGAATGTAGAGGAACTGGAAGAACGAATAACTAAGGGTTGAATGGTACATTGACTTCCACATACATCCATCAATCATGCCACCAACCAATGGCTTCAACGTCTCTTAAACGAATAATGGAATCAGAAGGTGGGCCTATTTGGACAGACTGAAGAAGAAATGAATTTGTATTATATGCATTAACTTGTACTTTAAGCATACATGGCTCAAAATCAGAATGAAAACAATATATATATTCCAATTAGGAATGTTTCGCAACAGTATTATATAAACTTGTTATAGGAACAAGGTATAGAATTTAGATTGATATCTGTCACTGAAAACTAGTACACATTAGTCTGTCATATTACGATATTTGAAATAGAGAGTTCTTTTTAGTTAAACTGGTTTAGGTAGAGTTGACTTTTATGTTAATGAGTCGTACAAGGTTGAGTCTGTGAGTTAACCAGAGGGCATGATATGGCGAAGACTGTATGGTTGTGGCTTCTTGCAATTGTTTGATGTTTGGATTTTGGACTATAGTTTGTTTAGTCTTGTTTAGGTTTAATATGCCCAAATTCCCTTAAGATTGATGCAAAAATAAGAAAGTTTCATCATCTTTCATCGTATTGGACACCCTGTGTATGACCATTACGGCCATGTCATTTTAAACTCATTTCACTAAGTATAACATGCGATACATAAGTGTGATTTAAATCAGTGTCACGTTATTTCTATATTGTTTTCATTCTCACAAAGCACTAAAATTTACTATTGCTGTCATATTATTCTAGATTCTATCCATTGACATTTACAAGATCAATATGACATTAAAACACAACGTTGTTAGTTCAGCACTTGTTTAGCAAGATTTAATGTTGAATATCAAGCTTGATACTGAAATCAGAGCTAATACTAATGGTCAATAAGACACGAGAGTTAGTAATGCTGTAGATTAAGTGCACTACGTACAAGGGGTGATCAACAAATAACGCAATATAGAGCCCTATATCAAAAACTAATTGGAGTTAGAACACTTAATTTAATACATAGTATCAATAAACATTCATCTACATTTCAAGAAAATTAAACAAACCCAACAATCCTGACCAATGATTAAGCTCGTGTACATAGACTGTGATCATGAACAATATTTAAAAACACGATGACTTTTTGACAAATCATGACAATTGTTAAAGAGAATTCACTTGTCTAAGTTCAGTTGCGATAGGGACATTTCCTTTGTGAGTCCCGGAAACGATCTCATAAGCGTTCTGCACGGTTCTCTGGTTCCGTTGTTTACATGATATTTGGTCAATGACGGACTTATACTTGGCATATATATCTGGCGATCGTATGCTGTATACAAGCGGATCTAGGATAAAATTAATATATGGAAAGTATGTTATAAAATGATGATAAACTGCAATAGTTGTTTGGCTAAAAACAGCTCGTCTGTAAACTTTGACTATGATGTAGGGTACCCCTAACAACACCATCGTCACTATAAGTATCACTATGGTGATAAAGGCGTGTTGGTCATTTCTCCTATTTCTCATTGCACAGTCTTCGTCTCGAAATGACCCGCACCTTTTAAATAAATCGCGAGACACGTAGATATACAAAAGCACTATGATAATAAGGATGAGACCTTTTCCAACGGCCCAACTATACTTCCATTGGTAGCAGACTACATATGCTGCCTCGGTTGGACATGACTGCTGCTGCTCATCAGTAATATTGTTAATTGTGACGTCATTGATTTGTAAGTTTGTAAGGTTGTCCTCGATTAGAAAGTTTGTGAGGTTGTCCTCGATTTGAAAGGTTGTATTAAAGAAGTTACTTGAGTTTTGACTCTGTTTGTGGATTCCTCCACATTTTTCTTTTGCGGTATATTCGCAGATTATGCTTGGAAATGCCACACAAGTAGAAATTATCCAACATAGACAGATATAGATAAGAATTTTCTTTGAACTTGCAAAGTATAACTTAAACAAATGCGGTTTTTTGATTGCGATAAAACGCATGATTGCAAACACGAGCAATGTTACGGTTGAAGTTAGAAAGAGCAGGTTAAAGCATATACCAGCAACTATAAATATTGAATTAAGTCTTTCCAAGCTCAACAAATTCCAATGTATCCCCGCTCTGTAGAATCCATCTCCTATATAGATTGCAAATGTTCCGAGAATATCACAAATCGCAAGATTTACAAATAATTTCGAGAACGGCGTTTGCTTTGGAAGATATATAACAATTATGGTCGTCAGGGAGTTTGTAAGTACTGATATTGCACACAATAATGTTGAAAGTACGGTAAATATGATCACGGTAGCGTCCGATTCAAACTGCACTTCTTCTACTGTGGAACCATCCATTGCGCCATTACCTTAAAGAAATACACAATATTCCGAAGCCATTATTTCACAGTCATGTCGAAATCGAAGCTAATTTCCTTCGTGATTGAAGACCAAGACTAGTGTTTGCTATCGAACGGCAGTGCGTTGGTTTATCACCGATAAACATGTTCTAAATAACACGAATCATCCTTGTGATATTGTACTTTTAATTCTTTGATAATCTCCTTCTTTGACTTACTGCACTATTGCCTTTTAGGATCACAAAACACTGCTGTATCACTTTATACATCCTTATACAAACTAATTAGTTATCGTAGTTCAGCTTTACCATGTGCCAATCTCCTTCCTTGACTCGATTCCATGCATACCAAGTGCCAGTCATTTGCAATAAGACTAAAATGACACTACGCAATAACACAGGCATCGAAATCACTGGCAAGAAAATATCAGGAGATCGTAACGGCAGTTAGCTTCGTATTCAAAATGGTGGAGAAAAGAAAAGTGTCGGTTTTTTATTATGTCACCACCAAAGAGTGTTGACATATTGTTACGGTGTCCATTTTATGACGGCGGATGGCAGTTGGCGATCGACAGTTGGCGTTTTGCGATTGGTGTCTGTAACAAAGTCTTACAACTTCCAATGACTTAACAAATACTGTTTAGTCTGACTTCAATTTTTTTCAAATTCATCTACAAGTTTTCAGAAGTTCACAAGTCTGACTTTATATTTAAGATTTGACCTTTGACATTTGATTAAGTCTTTCCAAGCTCAACAAATTCCAATGTATCCCCGCTCGGTAGAATCCATCTCCTATATAGATTGCAAATGTTCCAAGAGTATCACAGATCGCAAGATTTACAAATAATTTCGAGAACGGCGTTTGCTTTGGAAGATAAATAACAATTATGGTCGTCAGGGAGTTTGTAAGTACTGATATTGCACACAATAATGTTGAAAATACAGTAAATGGTCTATGATCAAAACAATTTCAAAAGTTATAAAACAATGTGTACTTTCTGGGGAATGGTTCATATCAGTCTAGAGTTATTTTTAAAATTTATTTAATTCATCGAATAGACAGCTAATTTCAGGATTTGACCTTTATTCATTCCATAAACATCACTATCCCCATATTAGTTTGTGTTCTTTTATCTTTTTGTACCATTGTTCTCGTTTAAGTATATTTCTTCATCTCTTTTGGCCCACAAAGAATATTCAGTCATTGAAATCCGTACTGGTTGGAACATTGATACCCCAGTCGGTACATTGAGTTCTCTTTAACAAAACGAAAAATTTGCAACGGGGGCTTCTTTTAAATGAATTTCCAAAAACGTCTCGTCTAATCTCCTCCTCGTGCTCTGCATAAGGCGCACTTAGAACAAATGCATCTTTCTGCCCTGAAACACTACAATTCCATGAACCTCATCAGTTAATACCGCACCATCCTGAAAACCAATCACCGTTATCGCATCATGCATTTCACGTACCCCTCCTTTACGCGGTCGAATATATCGTTTTACCATAGCCTACACAAGCAGTTATGGAACAATAAAGTATATGACTCAGTTACTCTTACACATAATATTAATGCTGTGCAAATATGAAAGCCAAATGTCAACTACAAAATGGTTGAATTCGATGAAAAATAAAAATGTAGAAACCAGCACTACCCGTCCGCCATCTTGAATGCGAGCGTAACTGCTGTTACCGCCTCCTGATACAGTGAAAATAATCGAAAAATAAAACAAATTCATCGTAAGAACTGTCATCTTTCGAGTAATTACACGCTATCCACCTCCTCTTATTTATGATAGCAGTAAATCGTTACTTCCATTGGAAAAGTCATTGTGTCGACACTCACATTTTAATGTCTTGTATATTGTACAAATACTCATAAGGACCTACTAAATGTCGTACTTTGCTGATTGATTTGATAACTTGGTTCTTCCGAACGTAATCATAAATCGTATAATAATTTGTAATATAAACCTCTTATAATAAATCACATACGCTAATTGAATTACACCGATCTGCAAAACGTAAATGGATCGTCGAATCGGTTTATGTAGCGTGACTAAGATATGCATGTTCTGTATCATAATACGTCTATCTTTGATAATCTCAATCGAATAAGATATAATTCACGTCCATCTTTCTAATGAAAATGTTCAATGTCTGTGACTAGATAGCACATTTTTATCAGGGAATTTTCAAAGGCATACGTCAATACCATGTGCACAAAAGGAGGGAGGCTAACCCTACTATCACACCAAACTAGTTCTCACTACGTTCTCGAAAACGGGCTTCAACTGTGTACGAACGGACTGGACGTACTAAGAACCGTTTGGGATCTATTTACAAACTTCATCGAACGTACTCGAACGGGTAGGTCCTCTAGAACTTAGACAATGCTCAAAATGTTTTCGTGGTCGTCACGTTCTACAATTAGAACGAGTGGCAACGTACTACCGACGAGCTGGACGTACTACGAACGGAACCGTCGTACTTCAATCCTACTAGGGACGTTTTAACAACGAGTGGAACTGTCTGAGGACGTGTTGAGAACGAGGTAGAACTCATTGCAAACGGGTTTAAACTGATAAAGAACGTATTTAACACTGCTTATGAACGAGTTAGCAAAAATATAGCTATCACACCAAACAAGTTGCCACTGCGTTCTTCAAAACTGGTTCTAAACTGTGTGCGAACGGAATGAACGTAGCTGCAACTTTCTAAGGTCTATTTAAGAACTTTATGAACGTTCTCAGACGGGAATGTGATTTTAGAAGTTTGAATCGATTCAAAATTCGATTGCGACCATACCGTTCTGTTATCAGGTCATGTTGACCTTCTAGACTAAGGGACGCGTTCTACGGCGTTGCACACCGACGTGGTGCGACCTGAACGAACTGCGAACGAGATGGACGTATTGAAGACTGTTTAAGAACGAAGAAGCTAATTATTTCAGACATATTTCCCGACCACAGCCAGTTTGAGCCCGTTTTACGACGTTTTCGTAGGACTGGCAAGAACGGGTAAGAACGAGTTTGGTGTGATAGGGGGGTAAGCAAGCACTCTGTTGAAGACTTGAAAACGCTGTCTTTGGAATTAGGGGTTTACTCTCTTGAATGAGGGGAATTTTTTTTGCAAGGGTCGAGTTGTCACTCCAGTTCGTGCCAGTCAGCATCATTTGAAAGCATTTTAATGACAAACTTAACTACATATAAATAGTGCCGTCTATGTATCATGCATATTCTCTCAATGTACATGTGTTACTATTCTCAGTATCAAGGCAACATATTTGTATAACAGCCGGTTATTGTTTTGAAATTTGCTTTTACTTTACACAAAACCTGTACCTAGTAACGCCTTTAAACAAGCAATGCTCTTCAATATAATAAGTGCAGGATTAAGTATGGATCTTTTCATTTACCAACTGGTTATAATTGGCATTCATTGAACGCTGACATTTAGTAAATTATTCACAGCTTGAAGATGTGTATTGCATTAACAAACCATTATGTTGCATCCATTTTCATCCATTATGTAAGCTTCACAGAACACACATAAATGATATATGAACTTTTAATTGTGTAATTTTGTCTTCGGGGTGATACGTTATTTTATGAAACTGTATCCTAATTGTTTTTGCATCTTTTTTTATGATGCAATATCCACTTATCAAGTACCGTAAACATTAAGATAATGATTTTTTTAAATCATACGTCTTACATGATTCATTTACAGGCGTCTCATTATTTACAAGCGTTTTTATTCTTATCTTCAAGGTATTTCTTGTACATTTTGCTAAATAATAGAGAGTCTAAGTTAGCGATATTGTTCACAGCGTTAAACCGTGACCGTAAAGCCAATAAGTCAATACAGTAATGCTATATCATAGCGCGCATAAAAACAAGCGCTACCAAGTCTACTTCAGATACCCGATCATCTTCAGAGCTGTGTTTAGAAAGGGAGATTTGCAATTTTACGTTGGTGGCAACGGAAATCATTAAACTCATGTCTTTTGAATACTATGCTGGCAATTTTGATTTCGAAGAATACTATAATAGTGGGGGGAATTTACCCCCATATTAGGCAGAATATTTCAGATGGTGATACAAGTATAAACTTTGGCTTTTCTGCTTCTTAAAACCTTTTTCCAAAAATATGTCCCTGTGATCGACGGAATATTTCACTACTTCCCCCAAAATCCAAGATGGCCGACAAAGTATGACTTAAATAATATGTAGGGTGGGCAATTCTTTTTTGGGAAAATTCATGCTCTCATGGTGAAATGTTGTTCTTTAAGGTGAAAATAGTCATGTGAATTTTTTTCAAATTTTTAAACTGAGTTTTAGCCCTCTCCCATGGCCCCAAAGTGTGACGATTTGGCGTAAAATGGGAAATAATGTTCATTTTCTAGGTTCAAATAAAGAATGCAATGACAAATAGCATTAATTATTATTTGAAAAACATCTAATAACTTTGCCTGATACTACAATATGAAGATTTCAATTATTGAAAAATTGAAAGTATTTTTTAAAAAGCGTTGAAAGTGCCCTACCCCATAAAATTGGAAAAAGGAAGTTGTGGTCAATTTTATCATTCTGTAGGATTAAGTTAGAAACGTTTATCAATAGAAAACAAATAGGTACATTCAGACCATCTTCAAAGGTAGCTGGATATTATAATATGATTATTATAACTATATAGGACACAACATATTTTATATATGTGTATGATTATGTGTTTATGTAGTACATGTATCACTGTGTAATGTAATGTAATCATAAAATAGAGAGGTTGCTATGATTTCATCAGAGTATGATTGGGCATGTTTATCTTTATGTTTAGAGCTGTTGTATACAACATACACACATAACACATAATACTGTTATGAACTCAAGTCAAAATAAATAATTAGGAGTTAAGCAAGGTTCATTCCTGACACCCTTTTTATTTTGTATACTCACAAATTGGTACAATGGATACTCTATTTAATTTAATGAATTTAACATAATTGGTACTACTGTTCTATAATTAGGAATATACATTCACTAATTTACAACAAAATCAGTTTTTAAAAGTTTATTACATATGAGCCGTTTAAGGTTCACTTTTGACACCCTTCTTATTCTTTACACTTACAAATGCACTTAATTTACAACAAAATCAATTTATGTAAATTGCCAAAACAACTGAAAGTTGCCAAAACAACTGATCATTGAGTACTGAGTGAGTTTTGCAGATTTATCAATGTATTTACCATGTTTCACAACTACAACACCATTACTTTGACACCAGCAAGAAAATAATTGCAGAATTTTGACGTGAGTTTAAACAATGGAGTATTATTGCTTGTGGCACTATTGTCCTTCAGGTTTTGTTGTGATTAGCAGCTTTAGTCGTTGTTGTCAGTTTAATTTCCATTGATTCTGCTTCTACCCCTAAAGCTGCATACAAACTCAGAGAGGTTGGAAAACAGGTTGATCAAACCTCACTAAGTTATTCAGCCAGCTCTGCACAATGCAGCCATAGTCACCATTTATGTTTGGCCTATTACTAAGAGAGCCCTTTTCCACTCTGTTGCTGTAACTCCAGCAGAACTTAACAGCCAGGAAAAGGACTATCATATGCATATTGTTCTGATGTGATGTATGTATGTATGTATAATTTATTTGCATCTTTTATAAAAAGACAGTTACATTGCATACAGTATATAATTAGGAATAAAGGTATAAAAATACATATATTATATAGTACCATTTACAAGAATGATATTATCATACCACACTACATGTGATTAGCCTAGTAAATGCCATTGTATGAGATCAATGAATTGCGCTTAGTATACATTTGAGTTACTATTCCTGAGATAAAAACTAGCGTATCAATGTCATCTATTGACACTTGAATCCCAAGAGACATTCTCATTTTCTGGTCATTTGACATTAAATGCATTTCATTGAAAAATATTGCCAAGGGTCTTCTAACATCAGCAAGTGCTTCACAATGCAACATGAAGTGCTCAATTGTGTCATAACAAGAATTGCAACAAGGACACATCGATTCGGAGAATCTGAAACAACCGGTTTGCAAATGTAACATGAGCTGGCATGATTTTTTCATCATTGGAAATTCTTGACAAATTTTCCACCAAATAGTAGGGCATAAAGTAGGTGTGGTCGTTAAAGATTCACAATACCATTTCAAAGAACTATATAATGAGCACATGATTCTTAAACTCTGTAAATCAGAGTTACCGACGATCATTTTTACCTTTTTGCTCCAACTGAATTTCGACCCATATTGCGCTGTACCTAACATTTTTACAACACTACCTCTCATATTGTACCTTACAACTGTGTTCCACATACTAACTAGAGGTGACATAGAGTGCCCAACACCATTCATTATTTGAACGAGTCTGTGGATTGCAACGCATTTATAAATATTACTCATAGGTAAGCTCAAGATTCCCCAGAAGAACATTAACCTATATATATCTATTTTCCTGGATATCTTACTCAAACCTAATGGAGTTGTAGCTATTGGGTTGGCAGACCCCTTCGGTAGGTTTTGAACTCGTCTACCAATCTCTCTGTGTACTATTTCAAGACGTTCTACTTCCTGTGGGGTGTACTGTATAACGGCGCAACCATACAGCATTGTGTTAAGGGAATACGTAGTATATAGTCTACTGGCAGTGAGGGGACTAAGACCCCCTGTCAGAGAACCGAGGCCTAACAGTGAAAAGAATTTCCGTTTCCCCCTGCTTATGACATCTGTAATATAGTCGGTACGTTGGCCGAGTGGGATTCCAACATGAATCGCGCCAGTTTTCAATGTGATTGTATCATGGCCAAGCTTAACTGGTTCGTTTATTGGAAGCTTATTTCCGAAAGCTAACATCACACATTTCCCTGGGTGGAATTCTATTCTCCACATCTGACTATATTGCCATACGGCATCCAGAAGATAGTCATTTGGGCATAGTCATCAAGTCATTTGGGCAATAAAGGAGTCTCATTGTAATAGTATTACAGTTAGTCACCTTCCAATCTGTTGCCTGAATCACATATGTTGCTTTAGGACTCTTTAGGCAGTTTGAAGTACTTGTGACAATTGGGTCAATATGTTGGATGTTCTCTTAAGACGTCCTGCCTTGCCTAGTTGGTTGGGTAAGTTTTGTGTCATTTAGTGTTCTATAAGGAAGTGACAGGGAGCTTCCAGGAGACTGCAACATTTGATATGATTCCTAGGTTTTTTTAGTTCAGTGAAGATACACAGAATGGCTATTTCAGTGTCATTTGTTAGAGGGACCCCATCAATCCATGAAAATGTGATACTAGTATGTTGGATGTGGGTTACTATTTCTCATTTTAAATTCATTGCACTCCTTGTGACTCCTTTCAGAAGGATGTTCATAGCTGCCATGAATAGTAATATGCAGCCTGCAATGATTCCCTTCTCTAAAGGCTGCCAACCAGTGGTGATTGTTTCAGTCAAGAATCTCAACTGAATACCTTCAAGGTGCTCTATCTCTAGGCCAATCACATGCTGAGGAACATTATAATGCTTCAGAGCTGTTGAGTTCATTTGTGTGGTACACTGCTGCCTTGCTTATATCAAGCCATACAATTGGCAAGTTGGTTTGTTTCTGCTATTAGCTGTGTTATAGCTGCAACATCACATGGCCTTTACTGTTGACCTCACTGTAGACAACTCGACACAGGGCTCTAAACCCAGCAAGTCTCTAGACATGTTTAGTTTGCTTTTGTAAAAAATCTGTACTTAAATGTACAGTATTGTGTAATTCCACATGTAATTCTGTATAATTGATAAGTTCTTGTCTACCTGCCCTTATTTCATCATACTATTAAGAGATTGTGATAATAATTGACTAAGGAAGAACCTTGGAAGACTACTTCAATGTTTGCATTTATACTTGGTTGACAATATTCTCATTCAAACTTGAAATATATTCTTGAATTATGTCTTAGATATTAAATGTATTAGAGAATGTTATAAAGTAATTCAAGTTCTAACAGAGAGGGCAAAAATAGAACCTTGAAGAACTCAATGTTTGCCAAAATTCAAATCAAAGAAGATCATAGCATTTCTAAATATATTTGCATGTCTTAGTACTGAGTGAACCTATTTTTTAACCATATTATCTCTATGTATGAATCTAAGGTGTCATTTTTACCGAATCATGTACATATTTCGACAACCTTAAATTTTTTACTGAAATAGTATTAGGTTTGGCTGATTTGAGGGATGGAATTTTTTTTATTTGTATAAATGACTGACTAGCCCATAAATTTGCATGTATCGCAATTTTGAATATTTTCCACCGAATTCCAAGAGATTGTGATAATAATGGAGTGTAGTAGAACTTTTCAGGACTCCTTCAAAGTCTCCTTAGTACTTGTAAGACAGTGTTTTCATGTAAACTTGAAATATTAGATTGAATTATGTGTGAAATATCAACATTATTCAAGAAAACAAGTTTAATGACTAAAGTTGATGCAAAATAAGTGTGCTCCCAAAATAGAACCTTGTAGAATCCCTATGTAAAGTCATTTTGCCCAAATTCAGCTCAATAATGAATGTAACTGTATTTTTAGATATAATGTACATGCTTTACTACTGAATTAATATAATTTTAAACCATATCTATCTCTATATATGAATCTAGAGTGTCATTTGTATCGAATTACACATATACGGCAGCCATCTTGAATTTTTTCCTGAAATAGTGTTCAGTTTGATCGATCACAGGGACAGAATTTTTCCAAACAGTTTAAATAACAGATTAAGCCAATAGATTTGCTTGTATCACCATTTGAAATATTTTCCACTAAATTCCCCCCACTATGATGCTTTCTGAAAAAAACGTCATGCACGTCATACATGTGTTAGCTCCAAATATCTTACGAAACGAGCATGTTTAAAATATGTGATCATAGAAAAAGAGATTTATAACTATCAATGACATAGTACACGATGATGTGTAGTCTAAATAACCGACTAAGTAACACCACGGTGTTATAGCATGACGGTTACGACAAGGAGATTTGCAAAATTTTGCGGTAACGATAACAAAAAATGGTGGATGGGAAAGACAGCATGTCCTCTTTCTCGCCTGTAGGCAAGATTCACAGATACGATTTCCTTTTCAACTAGTTCCATTCGGTGACGTATATATGGATGGTTATAAAGACTGGGTCAAATCTGCCAGGTGGTTTACAAGATGGGGAATATAAGCTGTAAACTTACCGACTGAGATGTCCAAGTTCATATTTTTTAGTCCTTTCTCGTGATTTCTCAGTATATGTGCCTCAGAGCCACTCAAACTATTAACAGTAAGTAAACTGTGTATAAACAAGCCATAAAATGACAAATCCAGAACAGGAACGTGGTCATATTGTAAATAACAAGGTTTCAAACGCAATGTCGTTAGACGACAACGTATGAATTCTATGGACAGTAACGTATTGTATTAGTTGTACATTAGATATTATTTAGTTGACGGTTACGTGTATGTACATCTTTCAAGTTAAGGTTGCTAGTTTTGATAGCCTCTTTCCATGTAATTGTTATAATGGGTAAGAAATGGAATGTTGTGAATTGCTTATATTTGTTTTCAGGACTCGCAAGAGACGCTCTTGTTTGAGCCTCTATAGGGCAAGAAAAAAATTGTGTCTTGCTTTATTTATGAAACCAATTTTAGTCAAAAAGATAGCAATGAAGAGGCAAAAGAAGAATTAGCATCAAGTACTGATGAATATGACAAAATTAATAACAATGAATCTGGGATACATATTTGAATGAGGTTCGCGTAACCGTCAATCAATTTTTGGCGTAACCGCAAATTAAAAATACAATATTATGGCTAAAGTACAACATATTAGGTGGTTTCCAATGCTCAATTGGCTTTTTATGATCGTATGTAGCTTACATCTATATACCCCGAGGTCGTTAGGCAATGTAGACCATGCCCTTACGACAAAAATAAACAAATTACTAAATTTTGTGTAGTTTTGAATTTCAAACTCAACAGTTTTTTGCTTATTTCATGTTATCCCCGGGCATCAATTTGCAAAGAATACGTTCAAAATATATATCACAAAATGCATCACCGAATGCGATGCCTACAAAAATCATTCATCCTTTCATTGATACACAGTAGAAAAAAAATAATGCACCAACCTTAGTTTTCTGTTCCATCGCGGCCATTTTATTGAATAAATCAGTGATCGTAGTCGTCTATTCTCGTTTTCAGAGATGTCGTAACCGTCATGCTATAACACCGTGAACACTGTAACCGAATCATTGTTTTATGTGTGAAAACTACAGTACATGCATTCGAATAGGGCGATGTATACGTACAGGTTTCCCGTTCGATTTTATATACATTGCTTAAAGCGAAATAACAAAATTGACGTACTTCTGCCGACAAAAAATTAAGATTTTTTATTTTCATAATTTACACCAACAAAGAGGTTGATTTGTATCCCGTTACTTAACCGAAGTGTTACTTGCAAGCTCCAGTTACTAAAAAGCTAGTCAGTGACAGTTATATGTACCCAGCAGCTCCAATAATTGGGTGAGAAATTGAGCATCCAAGACGTTATCTGGTAAAGGATAGGTATCGATATGGAAAACTGAATTCAACAATGTTTTTCTCTTAAACCAATCATTGAAAACATTCTGTAAAAAACACTTTAATATTTATGTAATGTTGACTGATTGACAACAATTTAATGCGAAAATTGTTTAGAAATACCTTATATACCCGTTTTTGTTAACATTTTTTGTTTTTTTATTGCAATTGTTTTTGCTCTTTTCTACCAATTCTTGAGAGTGAAATAAAATGTCTTTCCGAACCTTGTTGGAAGAAAATAGCGTATACAACAAGGAATTTTGGGTTGATTTAAAAAAGTATTCAAAAATTAAAACAAAATCCCCCAAAATAGATAAAAATCAAGATAAACCTTTTATTTCATTAACAAGATATTTTTTTAAATCAACCAAACTTTCCTTTGTACAATTACAATATTGAGAGTCCTAAACATGTTGTGTTTACACTCCCCTCCATAAGTTTGGCAACCTTTTTTCCCCATTGAACTACGTGTTAAAGCCTCTTTACGTTTGACTTTTTATTTATTTAACCGGCGATGAAATAACTTATAATATTGATGAAAACGTAACTTGACTTTATCTCAAATACCTCCAAATTTTCTCAATTTTTTCCTTTATTACAATAGGTCGAAAATTGATGATAAATTTGATGAAATTTTGAAAATCGTCATTCCCATGTAATCCAATGGGAAATGGAGGGTTCGGGGCAAATCAGAAATCAGGATATCTTTTCAGTAAAAGATTCAGCAAAAAGATATTTTTATATAGAAAATTGAATTGTCTAGCTTTTTTTAACACTAAGTGTTTAGTTTATTGGATGAATATTAAAGTTACAGCGCTTCAAAGTCAATTTTTCGCCTCCTGTGTTATTTCAATGGGAGAGGTTTTTTGAAAAACAATTTCGACTTTAAAGACCTATAACGTTGTTGAACCTGCAGAAACATATCAATTTTTTGTTAACTAAAGTTAGCAAATTCTATTGCCTGCCTAACTCGTATTTTTTGCAAGGACTCGGATGGATGGATATTCTATCATATGATTTGCGGCAAACCTACCATTTCCCATTGGTTAACATGGGAATGTCGATTTTCAAATATTCATCAAATTCATCATCAATTTTCGACCTATTGTAATTGAGGAAAAAAATTGAGAA